CGAAGATCAAACCATTGGCCAGAATGTGGGAAGAGCTCCAGCTTAATTCTTGGTAGCAGAGCAAAGAAATGAAATCACACACGACAAAAAAGAGGTGAGAGCCAAAAGAGGGAGCATGGAAGTCATGAAAAGGTGCTGTAATTGTTAACGGGATTATTAACTGTCACAGTCAAGCCTTGTGCAGTTACAGGTACTTTTTGTTGTCCTTGGCTCTGCCACAGCTGCTTAATAGTTTCTGCCTGAATTTCCACCACCGCAAGGTCTGGGCTAATGCTCAGTCTGGCAATACGGGATAGTTTGCCCTCACCATGCAGTTACAACATAACCCTGTCCTTCGCAGAGCAAAGCAGAATCTGGCTTTGGTGTTTGGACACGCATGAAAATGTTTGAGTTTCATTCCTTGGTCATACATAATCTCCAAAGTCCAAGGTTAGCGTCAGCGTTAAAATCAATCCACTGTCCGCTGCACAGGTAAGGCTGTGGTTTAGCTTCTGTAAGGACTGATGTTGTCAGAGCCCTAATTATTGAAGGAAAAAAAAGCAAAGCAGAGCTTGTAGAGCAAAGTTTTATCCTGCATTGGATCCAGTGGATAAAACAGAGATGTTTGGGGGCTCATAAGGTCGCAGTGGCTGTAACCCATAATAAGGGTTTGAGGTTGTTTTCTCATGCCCCACTTTGGTTTTCTAGCCCCTTCCCATCACCCCATCCCATTCCTTAAAGCCTCCTTGGGCCTTTGCAGAGGATGGGGTTTAAATTTGGAGGGGGGGGTGGCACTTTCCAGTAGGCATCTTCTGGGAACACCATCGGCCCGTGGGGCTCAAGGGGAGGCTGGAGGACCATCAAGACGTTAGGAGCTCACCCCCCACCAAGGCTCAGGCACTGCACCCCAGACAGCCATCCCCTCGCAGGAGGGCAGACCTGTTCCCAGCCAGCAGGCAGAGTCCAAAATTTCTGGGCTTGTGCAATGATTTGGGTTAAAGCAGGCAGCTGGTTTGGTGCTGCGGGGGATCCTGGCTCAGCTGTACAGACCCACACTCCAGCTGTGTTACAGTCGGTGGGATGAATCCAGACGCACACACACACAGAGAGCTTTTTTTATCCCCAGAAACTGTACACAAGACACAGGGCTTGAAGGCACAACCTCCTGCAGCCCTGGAAAGGCAGGTGACCACAAGCATTCCTAACTCGCATAGATACATGAAAATGGTACTGTAGGTTATTAGTGACGTTTGCGACTCCCTTCTCCTCTCACTGACGTGGTAAATGAGATCGGCGAGATCCGTCCTATTCTTAAACGTGAAATGGGAAGGAGCCGTTGGTATGTCCTTGCTCTGTACATCCCACCTCTGCTCCCTTTGGGGATCTCATCAGATACAAGAAGGGGACTATAGACAAGACAATTTGAAAACCCTGAGGAAATTCTTAGGTCTCTGGAGAGGATATTTGTCGTTCCCCGACCTTTCAGGGGTTTACTACAAGCTGATGCCATCCTGCCAATGATACTTCATGTGGAAAATAAAAGTGTCGGTAAGGAGCTATCAACAAAATAACGCGGTCCCAACGCTGGCGTGCAGCCGGGCTCACCCCCAGGCTCCCAGGCCACTTCACTTATTTGCCAGCTCATCTGGCCTGATCTTTGCTTGCACACCCGCTCGCACACTAGTGCCAGCTGCCGGCACCACGGACACACGGGCCCTCTGACTCATGGCCTTGCATTTAAGGAAAGGAATTTAATAAGACAATAGGACAGACTGTGCTGATCAGGTGCAGGGTGTGACTAGACAAGTGTATGGACCAGCTGCCTATTTACACACAACCAGCCCTTTTTACCCCCTTACCCCTCTATTTTCCACCCCAAATCACCTAAATCCCTCCTTTTTCCCACTTTTGGTTCCTCCCCTAAACATCCCACCACAAATCCTGTGCAATCCCAAAATGCTCTTCCCCTGCACGCCATAAGATGTCCCCCCTCCCTTGACAGCAATCCCCCTTAGTCCAGATGGTGATCCGGAGAGCTGCTCCCAATGACACATCTCGACGGGTCTCACACCAGGACTGTGGGGCTGATGGCTCCGCTGGGACAGTCCTGGGAGGGACCTGGACAAAACACTCATTCCTTGGAAGTCCTTAATTTGGGTTCCCACCTGCCAATAAGCCCCTGTGCTCCTCTGGGCTTGTGGAGATGGGCTTTTGATGGGCTGATGGCCCCGTGATGGGGCTGGGAGTAGCTTGGCAGGGTACTATTTGTGTCTCTGTGCTCCTCTGTGGGTGTGCAGATGAGCTTTTATCACATAACCCAACACCACAATAACCGGAGACACAGAGCAGCGATACACGTGAAGGAGGTAAAGAGAAAAGCCATGATAACAATTAAGCAAACAAGATCGTATCAGTGTTGGCACTGCACGGATCTAATAACCATGGGATCATGCAATGTATTTCACAGATAACACCAGAACAAACAATGCAATAAGGACTACCCAAATTAAAAGCGTAGCCGGTATCTGAACCGAACATCGCGAACAGGCTGCATCGTCCCGAATCCCCAGCGGCTGGTGTCTATCGCTGGGATCTCCTCTTCTCTGTTGACCAGCTCCAGGTCATAGTGACTCAGCATCAAGAACACAAACAGCTTAATTTCAGCGGCAGCAAAGAATCGCCCAGGACAGATGGACACCCCTGCCCCCCAGGGCATGTTGAAGTATTTCAGCCTCTTCCCATTTTTGTAGAAATCTTTCTTGGTGCCATCTGGGTTTACGAAGCGGTTGTATTTAAATTCGTGAGGCTCGGGGTGAATGTCTGGGTTCATCTGCACAGAGATGTGCGGGAACAGAGCCACCCGGTCTCCTTTGCGGAGACTGTACTCTGTCCCGCTGCTCGTCTTAAGTCTGGTGTCCTGGAGGACAGCTCTGACCAGTATGGGGGCTGCAACCAGCCTCAGGGTCTCCTCCAGAGCACTGTCCAGAAGAGGAGTCTGGTTTAACATGTCCCTAGTGATGTTAATTGGTGGGCTCCCTGGCTTCGCTTCCTGACCGTTCTCCCTTGAGACTTTATCTACCTCATCCTTCACAGCCTTCATAGCTTCTGGATGTTTCATTAGATAGAAGAGGAGCCAGAAGGCAGTTGGGCCCGTATTGCCTTGGGATGCCCAGAGGAGCATAAACATGAAACGATCCCGCATGTACTCAGGGACACCGTTTTCTGCCAGAAGCTGGTCTTGATCACTTATCCACCCACTGATATTGTCCTTCTGCCAGCTCTTCTTCACAGACAGCATGCTCCAGAAAAGCCTCTTCAGCTGTTCAGCTT